TCCTGAATGATAGCAGTGAGTCTACTCAGCCTGAAAATGTAGTGCGAATAATTTCTGCTCCAACATAAGCAGATGTCCACGAGGTGAACGACAGACTGCCACCACAGAAGAATGGCATGTCGATGGAAAATGCAGATAAACGGGTTAAAGAAACTTACTCAGAAGTTGTCAATTTGTCGCCAGCTAACCTTTTTGAACCACCCAAGTGTGCGGACACCGAAGATATGATTCAGGAGATGACTTGCCTCATAATCGAGTACACTCAAGACAGCTTTTTTGCCCCAATAGCTCTTCAAATACTGTATTGGCAATAATACCCCCATCTATTCTGTCAGAGGACACATGCAAGGACTAAGTACAATGAAAATGTGGCAGCAATGAAGAGAAGATTGACAATGTGACAGAAAGGGGCCCTTGATGATCTCCTAAGTGAAGCAAGAACACTGCAGGAGACACTAAAATTCATAGGAGATGAAAAGCAAAACACCGATGATGTTGCCAGAAAGTTTGGAAAGAAGATGTGTGAGGGAAAGTGTTTTTGGCAGTAAGCTCTCTCACAGAGGAATCCTCCGGTGGTGTTCAGCCAATAAACACAGACACATTACAACAACTGAAGGAAAAACATCCCCCTTCAAGTGAAGAGGAAGGCATCAGGTTCTAGGGTGCCCTTCAGGCCTGGATGCTAACAGTTGGAGTCATCCTCAGCACTAACAAGTTTGGTGCCGTAGCAAGTGATCTCTGCAATGCCACCACCGCCCTTGCAAGAACGCTAGCAAACTCGTGCTGCCATCACCTACAGTACATGCTCTGACGGCCTGCCTATAAGAGTGGGGGAAGTGCTGAGACGGATCATTGGAAAATACATAATGGAGGTGGCAAATGATGATGTCAGGGCAGCTGCAGGGAACCTGCAAGTATGTGCTGGCCACCAGGCTGAAGGGAAAGCTGCCATTCACGACATGAGAAAGATATTTGAGTAGCGTGATTGTGAGGCAGTTCTCCTGGTTGATGCTTCCAACACATTCAACAAAATCAACCACAAGGCTATACTGCACAAGCTCAAGTGTCCAAGCTTTGCAATATACTGTATGTTGAAAACACCTATAGGAACCCATCAGACCTCTATAAAACAAAGATCCAAGGCTCTAAGAGGAGATACCACCATACAGTAAACTGAGGGAACAACGCAGGGGGACCCTGTTGCCATGGCAATGTAAGCACTAGGGTGACTAGGCCTACCCGTGCTCCAATACACAATAAAATTTTAAACAACTGTGGTCAAGCAAGTGGCTTATGCTGACGACCTTACAGGAGCAGGAAAAGTGGAGAACATCAAAAAGTGGTGGGACCTGATAACACCACGTGGTCCACAAATAGGGTACCACCCAAATGCCAGCAAGTACTTCCACATTGTGAAGCCTGAACATTATGAACGGGCAGTGGAGGTGTTCGGTGGAAGTGAAGTCAAAATAACAAAAGACAGCCAAAGACACCTAGGTGCGGTAATCAGCACGAAGGACTTCAAGACCAAGTACGTAACGGGAGAGGTAAATGTAAATAAGTGGGTCAAGGAAATCCAAGCTGTCAGACATTGCTAAAACAGAGCCACATGTGGCTTTTGCAGCATTCGTCCACGGAGTCAAGCATCGCTGGCATTACCTGATGGGCACTATCCCTGATATTGGTCCCCTCCTCCACCCTCTGGAAGAAGCTATCAGCGCCAATTTCATTCCCAAATTAGTGAAACACCTTCACTTAACCCCAGCAGAGAGGTCAATCCTTGCACTACCACAGAGAATGGGAGGAATGGGATTGACCAATCCAGAGGAGCTTGCTGCCACCAAACATCAGAACTCGGTCAAGCTCACGGCAGCCCTCACAGAGCGCATAATAGCTCAGAATGCAACAAGTGAAGTGGATACTAACGAATAAAACAAGATTCGACAGTCCATTATGACAGAACGACAGCACACCAAAAGTGATAAACTGCAGCAACTGATCCTGCAAGTGGCAGAGAATTTGAAAAAAAAAAAAAAAGTAGCTATAGCGCAGGAGGTGGGTGCCTCGAACTGTGTGGCTCTTCCTATAACATCGACCACACCATGGTGTGCAAGAAAGGGGGCTTTGTATGCATGAGGCATGATGAAGTAAGGGATCTCACAGCAAATATGTTGAAGGAAATTTGTCATGATGTCACGGTAAATCTGCCCCTCCTTCCATTGAACGGTGAGAATTTCCATCACATGACTTCAAACACTTCAAACGAAGCCCGTGTGGAAGTCAGTGCTCGAGGATTCTAGATGCGGGGACAGTGAGCCTTCTTCGACATAAGGATTTTTTATCCCTGGGCGGCATGTCACCGTAACCTAGCTCTTGATGCTGCACACAGGAAGAACAAGAATGACATGATCAGGGCATAAGGGTAGAGAATTCTAAATGTTGATCAGGGCAGCTTCACTCCTCTGGTGTCACAACCTCTGGTGGGATGGGACAAAGTGCAAGATGCTTCTATGCCAGACTCGCAAAGGTGTTATCTGAATGGAAGCAGCAGTCCAGAAGTTATGTTACAGCCTGGTTGAGATGTTGACTGTCCTTCTCTCCGCTTAGGTCTGCTTTGCTCTGCCTCAGGGTTACGAGAGCATCGACCCAAATGCTGACATCAGTCGCAGATATTGACTATGAGGCAAGTCACTGAATGCCGCATAGATCTGCAGCTCAACTAACTCAACACAGCTGGGGTAGCTACTTTTGTAATAGGATATTAATTTTAAGGTAATAAAATGGCAGCAGGTGAGTCAGCCAAGCAGTACAGCTGACTAAGTAGCCTTCACATACGTTCACCTCACAAACACCTAAGCTCTTCTTTTTTTATTATTTATAGTTTTATATTAGATTTTCTTTATTTCTAAGCCTCAAAGTATTTTAATTTTTACCCTTTTGCTCTGTAATAAAGAAAACAGTTTTAACAGTTTTACTAGGGTGGACTATAATATCCTGTGTGATTTAAGTTACATGTTTATTTACATACTCAAACTTGACTTGTACGTAGTGAAACTTTTATACATTTTTTTTTATTTATCCTTTATTTTGTATAAGTGACCAAATTACAGTAGCATATATAAATGCCGCACTGTCTACGGTTTATGTAGCATTGCCCTCCATCACCTGCCATACCTGTGTCACCTACTACAATGCTTCATTCTTTGCCTGCAGTGATGGTAAGTGTTATTTTGTGAAAATTTATAATTACTGTACATGTCCACATATATGAGCCAACAATTTTTTTTGTGTTGTATTTTAGATGGGGGCTGGAGGGGGGCTCGATAAGTCAGAATTTGGGATAATTTGGCAAGGCCAGAGCCCCATATGTGCCGAATTATCAAGGTTTTCCCATGTAAGAAGGGTACAGGTATTAATGGTAATTTCTGAAAACACCGCTACCACCAAAAGGGGCTGTTCGATTTTGTTAATTTTTTTTCCAGATCTTATCATTATAGAAAGTATTTTAAAAGAAGCAAAAACTTTTAATTTTAATTATCAGTATTTTTTGGTAATTAGTTTTTCTCTATCTACGATCATAAATCACCTGTAGTGGGCAGGGCATGAAGGATGGGAGAAAATGCAGGGTAAAACACTGAAAAACAGATCATATGACAATAAAATTATGTATTTATGTGCTTTGTATACATATAAATGAATTATTTACTGGAATTACAACTCTGAAAAATCTGAAGAGTCATTGTGTGTCGTCTGTTTGTTTACAATGGCCAGTCCAAACATATTCTCATGTCCACAGAAAAAATAAATTACACCATGACACCTCAACAAAGTTGCTTTCATTGTCTGGATCTGTGGGAAGTAGAGAATGAACTGAGAACAGTTCAAAAGTAGGAGTGTGAATTTCTGTTGCAAAATGTGTCATCTGGGCAAGCCTAACCTGACCTGACACAAGGAGAGTAACTGCATTCATCCCTTGACCATAATTTATGGTCCTGACTTTACGAGACAGCACCTGTCGGCCTTGCCCTTCAGTCCTTAACACCAGCGACCGCATGAGCTATGGGGGCCCAGCGACCCTAAGAGCTTATGCAACTGCATGACTTCTATGCAAACCCATTTGGGGTCGTGACCCTGTGTTTAGGAACCGCTGCTTTAGATCTTTCAACTACAAATTGTAGTCTGCCCATAAAATGCCTGGAAAATTTTTTTGTAACGTAGTTTATACCATAACTATAACAAATGCATAAACAAATGCACCAATACAAATAATTTCATCCTCTATGGATATGAATATGACCTGCACACATTATACCAATTAGAAAAGAAAATTAGAACCTAATTTCAGCCACTACTATAGGAAAGATCAATGTCCTTATTTTGCAATGTTACTTCTTGCCTCCAGCCAAATAAACACAGCCCATAATTCAGAAAAATTTGATTTTGAAAATCCATAAATTTAATTTTCTGTATGTTGTTTTACATAATCATTATCATTTCCCGCTTCCAAACTTATCATGTGCTCCACATCTTTTTATAAATCTTATTTTGAAATAAAATAACAGGCAAATTCTTCACTTGAGAGACCTATATCAAAATAGGAGAGCTTTTACCAATTGTATTGTATATTGACAGTCTTTCTAAGCACTAAGTAGTAAGGTAGTACACGCTGTAAATTTGTGAAAAGTTTGCAGATAATTCAGTAGCAGATTAGAGCTGGCGGTATTCTAACATCATGAAATATCCAAAAAGGTAATGCACTGCATTTTTATGAAAATCCAACTTTACAGGTATTATGAACTTAATGGGTTAAGTTAATGTTCAATAATACACTAAACTAATAAATGTTTTCCAGGTAAGGCTTCTTCCTCAATGTATACCACACCAATGACACCTGACAATAAATTTTTACCTTCAAGCTAAAAAGATTTATATTACACCATCCATTTTTCCATCATATTTATGTAGTCCTTATTCATCTGATCTCTATCAACAACACATACCTGTGCAGCAGATGGGAACAGTGGTTTATTAGGTGGCTGAGATGTGCTGGGTGGGTTGTTGGCAGGAGGTCCACCAGGTGGAGGCATGGGACCTAAAGGCCCCATTGGGCCACCCATCATACCCGGTCCACCCATATAAGGAGGCATGTGACCCATTGGCCCCATGTGTCCCATCATTGGCATCATTGGTCCATTTGGACCCATCATGGGACCCATGGGTCCTGGTGGTCCCTGAGAAGGCACAGCAGGGGGTGGTGGATTTGACTGGCCAGGGAGACTAGATTGGGAGTCATCGTCATCTTCTTCATCTTGCCGCCGGCCTCCAGGACCCATTCTCCCTGCACGTTGTCTTTCATGTTCCTTAAGATCTTCCTCAGGTATACCTTCCATTCCATATATCTCTATTTCTATGTTGTTTCGATTTGGGAGGGCATTTGGTACTTTGTCGATTGTTTCCTTATGAACCTGTTCGATAAGTGAAAAATTTTTTTTAGCATAAGTCAATAAAAGTGACTTGACCTAAGCATTACCTGAATGTTAAATTACTAGTTAAAAAAATCCAATCACAAAAGTTCTGATACTATAATTGTTTCCCAGAAAATTTTGTTATTTAGTTGTGGTATTATTAGATGCAACTTCCACTTCAACATAAAAGGGTTTTATAATACTTTTGCAAGATTACAATAAAACAACTTACCTGCATACAATGGATGGATAAACCTGGACCTGTATATAGTTTCTTGTGACATATATGACATTTGAAGTGCTTGGCTTTCTGATGTTGTATTAAAATCTTTTCGTCATCAAATTCACGATTGCAGTACCTAAGAGGGTAAAATAAGGAAAAGCATAAATTTTTTGCATATAAAGTAAGTTGCAACTAAGCAGTAGCCACTAGAAGTGAAAGTTTGCATGATCTTTATTCCAACAAAATATTTATGTTTACAATATTGTCCCGTAATGGGGAAAAAATTTAATTAAAACAAAATATCTAGGGCTTTTGAAGGTTATTGTTATGGAATGAATCGGGTGGAACCACACGGTCCCCCCCAAGCCTGCATCATAAAATAGAACAACAAAGTATTGGAACCTAATCCTTTTTACTCATTGTTATATCAACGTATACAGTAATTCAACCCTAACCTTTGAGAAACACCAAGTCTAATTTGACATAATTTGTAGCAAGACAACACCAATGAGTCTTGGTTGTGTTCACCGCAACAGCTGACACTATTAACCCTGAGGCCCCAGGTGACATTCCAGAACGTCCGCCTATTCCCGCCACTGGTGTTTTGTTTTAAGTTGATTTTCTATAGATTTATTCCTGCGGGCGGGCACCGGGGGGAGGGGGTGTGTGTTTACTGTCAGTAGCACCTTGACCCAGGGCCTAAGAGTTAACAGTGTTACCATCTCTAAAACTTAATTTCCTCTAGTTACCAACTACTGTACTATGAGAAATAAGATAAAATAACAAACAGTACCAATAAAGATGATGAATAAATAAAAAATAATATCAATAAATAAAAAGATGCTGTACAGTACTGCATTGCCCTTTGGTTGCTGGACAACAAAATTTGTCAATTGCTTCACTTCCACATGGAAGCAGCTCAGGGCCTGGATACTCAAAAGTACTGAACTGTATTTACAATATTGCATTTCCCAGTTCACTGTGTAAGTCGATCCTTGATCTTGTAAGACCGCTCTGTAGAAATACTCAAAATAAAATATCTGCCATCTTGTGACATCACATATTGTATTGGAGGCCATAACTTTACAGGACCTTTGAAGCTCCTGTAATGGTAATGACCAGGAAATGGTGTACGACGTCTGTCTGGAAAGTATCCAGCCATATACTATTAAAAAAATATTGCTTACCCTTGGGACCTCACACACTTCTCCCAGCGTCCCTTCCACTTTTCAAAACAGTCTGCAAAGTCCTCTTTCGGGACCTCCGTCAGCTGCCTCGTCGCATTCTCCTTAATCTCGTCCAAGCCAAACAATAACAAAGGAGTACTACATCGAAATTTTTCGCAGGCTGAGGGATGCAGTAAGAAGAAACCACCGCAGCTGTGGGCAAGTAGTGACTGGCAGCTTCATCATGACAACGCGCCTGCCCATTCTTCACATCTCGTGCAGGGTTTTGTGGCAAAACATTGCATCACCCAGGTCTCTCAACCCCCCTACAGCCCAGATTTGGCTCCCTGCGACTTCTGGCATTTCTCAAAGCTAAAATCGCCGTTGAATTGTCTATGTTTGTCTTTGATACCCCCAAAATGTTCTACACTACGGAGGGTATACGCAAACACTTGTGATCTTGAAAATAGGTCCTTATTCTCGTACAGGAGATATACAGAGGAACTAATAGACAGTCGGCTTCCACACCATAAGGACTAGCGATCTCAACTCTCTGTATCACTCCGCGCTGGCATGTACAGATGCCAGCATTCACAAGCTGAATACATAATATGTAAATATGGTAATTCACATACATAACATGGTGCATAATAAATGGAAATATTACATAGGATTAATACTTGTTCTGTAATACTTTACTATACATAATTAATAGAGTAATATAAGAATACACAGCTTAAGGTAGTACTTCGTGTCCATATTATACACCTCCCTCCCCGCTATACGCTCATAGTTTCATCTTGAGCGGACCTTTTGTTTCTGAGTCGCTCGGACCTGCGGAGTACCGGGGCAGAAACACAAAGTGGGGATGGATTTACTGTAAAGACATCAACATTAGGGGACTCTACTGGGGAGGGGTCAACACTAGGCAGCTCCACAGGTCGGAGGAAACGACAGTTCCTCCACCATACTCTACCACTAGGAAGACGCACTTGGTAGTCCCTGGACCGGCCAATACCCATGACAACCCCAACCTTGTCCCAGCAGTGAGATACCGGATCTTGAATCCTGACCTGCTGACCGATACTCAACCTGGGAAAGGGGCGGGCATGACAGTCGTACCGAGCAGCGACATCTGCGGCTCGTTCTCCTGCACGGCGGTCACATTCTTCAGTCTTGGCTTGCCATTCTTGAGAAAAAGACTTCGGGTGGGCAGGAACACAAGACCTGAGCTAATGTCCATATAGAACCTTGGCTGGGGAGTGTCCGGTGAAGTTCAGGGTGTTGCGTAACTCCAACAAACCTCGATCGAAGTCCTCGCAGTCAATACTTCCTGAGGGTGACACCTTAAGGATCAGGTATTTAACAGTCTTGACTGCGGCTTCAGCGTGTCCATTCGCCTGGGGGTAGTGGGGCGAGGTCACGACATGACGCACTCCCCAACGGTCCATGAAGTGCCGGAACTCATGGCTGGTGAACTGGGGTCCTCCATCAGTCCTGAGGCGGAGGGGAACACCAACTTCTCTGAAGTAATGTCTGAAATTCCGGATGGTACCAGTAGCCGTTGTATCACTACCACAGGGGACGACAACAGGCCATCCAGACAATCGGTCGGCAATGACGAGGAAGGACTTCCCTGCCACTGCAAAGAAGTCGGCCGACACAGACTCGAAGGGTCTTGAAGGGATATCGTCGCACATTAAAGGTTCCTGTTGCTGGCTGGGTTGCAGAATCTGGCACGGCTCACAGGCACGCACGGTACTTCCAATGTCCGCGTCGATTCCGGGCCAAAAGACAGTCTGCTTCGCCCGTCGCTTGGTGGCCTCCACTCCTCGATGGCTGTCGAGAAGGCGGGTCAATGTACGGCAGCGTAGGGCAGCAGGAATGACTACTCGTGGGCCATACAAGCCAAGGTTTCCGTCACAATAGAGGTTCTCGCGTATCTTCCAGTACGGGAGTAGCGATTCATGAAGGTCGTATCGGTTAGATGGAAATCCCTGGGACACACAGTCGACGAGCCGGATGTAGGAAGGGTCGGCCCGGGCTGCGGTGCGGAGATCTTCAAGGGTCTTGTCTGCATCCGGTGCTGTAGACTCTTCTGATGTGAAGACGGCCTTCAATGAGACTACTGACTTGAGGGATGCAGCAGCTGTAGAACACAAAATCTCGTCCTTTGGGGTGGGGCGACTGACGGGCGCGGGACAGGGCATCCAGGATGCACAGCAGCTTACCCGCACGCCACACAGCCGTGAAGAGATAAGGCGAGAGCTTCTCTTTCAAACGTTGAAGGCGAGGATTCTCTACTGCATCCAAAGAGTAGTGATTGATAATAGGTACAAGAGGGCGATGATCCGTGAAGAGGGTGAAGTGCTGAAGTCCTATCGGGTAGAAGCGGCACTTCGCCATCGCCCAGACAACAGCCAACATCTCCAGCTCAATCGTGGCATATCGGGTCTCGGCGTCCGTCAGGAACCGGGATCCACACTGAATTAAACGGAGTTGTCCACCACCATGGTCCTGCAGAAAGGCGTAACCAACGCCGTAGAGTCTGGAGGCGTCAGTCTGGAGGACGGTTTGTAGGGCTGGGTCGTAACAGGCGAGGACAGGTGGACTTAAGAGGGCCTGCTTGACTCGCTGGAAGGCCTCTTGATGATCTGGGGTCCACAGGAATGTTCTCCTGGGGCTCAGCAGGGGGCGTAACGGCTGGGCTGCGGCGGAGATGTCAGGTGAAAATTCAGCCAGCTGATTGACCAGACCCCAAAAAGAATAGAGGTCTGTCAGGTTGGCAGGGGTTGGAAAATCCCTGATTCCACTTAATTTCTCCGGGTCAGCTGCGATACCTGATGCTGAGAGAGTGTACCCACAGAAGTTCACTGATGGTGCAGCGACTACAAACTTGTCAGCGTTGAGGGTAATCCCGTACTTTCGACATCTGGTGAGAACTTCATATATTCGGGAGAGGTGGGCACAGTAGTCTTCGTCATGGAGTAAAATATCATCAACCACCTTGACACAATTCGTGACTCCTGGAACGGCCGCGTCACCACGTTGACAGAATGCATCGCCCGTAGAGGCAAATCCCATGGGGCCTCTGCAATACTGATACCTTTCATATGGTGTGATTAATGTAGTCAAATGCTGGTCTTCTTCGGCCAACTCGATCTGCCAATAACCACATAAGGCGTCCATCGTTGTAAAAAACTTCGCCTTCAGGTCCACATTTCGAACAGCTGCGAAGGGTGTGGGTGAAGAGTGGGCTGGACGGGAAACTTGCTGGTTAAGTTTTGATAGATCGGTGGTGATCCGTACTCCACCACGAGATTTGGCGACTGGGACGAGAGGGTGGCACCAAGGTGAAGGTTCGTCTCCGGCCGGCTTGACGATTCCCTGAGCAACCATGGAGTCAAGCTCTTGTCTAACTAGCTCCTTGTAGGCGTGAGGAATCAAACGAGGGGTGTGGATGGCAAAAGGTGTGGCACCATCCTTAAGATGAATCTTCATAGGTGGACCCAACATCAGCTTGAGTGGTGTGGATCCTAAAGATTTCTTCGTAACCAACACGTCAGCAGACTCCTTGAGAAGGTAAGCTCTTGCATCGGAAGGGGACGTGTTAGTAGAGATAGGGAGTTCCTTCAACCTGTTGACATGGGTGACCTTTAAAATAGGTTTGGGGAATTCCTTGGAAATAATGGCCAACTCTTGACAATGGCCATATGATAGAAGAGGAGGCGGGATCCCATCATGAACATCAATCCGGGCTGAGCAAGACTGCTTACCAAAGGTAAGAGTAGCCCAGAAAGATCCCAAAGCTGGAGCCATCTTGGAACCATCAGCTGTCAGTTTCGTTGTCTGAGGAGGGGGCTGTAGGTTGCTCTGGGGTATTCCCAAACTTGCTAAGTGTTTTGGACCAATTACTGAGACGTCAGCACCGGTATCAGGTAACATCTGAAGACTGGATGACAAGTTACCG